GCGCCCGGCCGCGCCGGCCCTGCGGCTGCCCGGCGCCGGCCCGCGGAGCCACTGCTCGGGCGCGGGGAAGGCGGCCCCGGGGCCCGCAGCCGGAGGGGGTGCCGCCGCCCAGACGCCGGGCGCCGGGTGGGTGCCTGCGAGCGCCGCCAACACGGTACGTTCGAGGGTCGGCGGAGCGCCGCGACGCAGGGGACGGGCTCGGCGCTCTGTCGGGACACTCGCCTCTGTGTTCTGGGAAGCTACAGGCAGCCGGGGCGTTCGGTCGCCGTGAACTTCAGGGGCCCCCAGCTGGGTACAGTCTCTCTGGCCAAGTTAGAACCCACTCTAATCCCCTTGTGCCCACACCAGTTGTTGGAAGGTTTGTCTGCACGTTGCATTGGTAAAAATAACTCGCTCGTCTAGTGAAAAATCTATTTTTAATCTTTTGAAGTATATTCAGTGTATAGGGTAAATTCGGAGCAGTCTTAAGAACGGGCCTTCTCTTTGCTTGTGCAGATTTGGTTCATCATCCTTTGGCCTTCAGTAATCGTATACCTTAACACGAAAAATAATTAGTTTAGATAGTAATTAAAAGATCTTTCAGGTTTGCATTTTAGAAAACTTAAAGACTACTTTACCTGATGAAATAACTTCCCAGGCAGGAGACCACTGAGCATGAGTGGCACAGCTTTTGATGTCATGTTAGCAAGCTCATGCAATTATTACATCTTCAATTGTTAGGTCTTCAGAGGCCACTGTACTGCTCTGTTTTCATCAGTTACACAGCATGGGCTGAGGTGGCCACACCCCGCAGGGGTCTCAACTTCAGGAACAGCTTTAAAGCCTGTTGGAGCTTGAACGCTGGATGCTCTGAAGTTGCCCTCAACCTGGCTGCAGCCCTTCCCAGCACAGTTGGCCGAGTATGCCACAGGTTATCTGGTTGGGTAATCTGAGATTAAGCTTTTTCAGTGTTGATTTCTACAAATGTAATAGCTAGATATTAATGAACTTTGTTTTGTTTTTTGAGACAGAGTTTCTCTGTGTGGCTTGTAGACCAGGTTGGCCTTGAACTCACAGAGATAACCCTGCCTTGGCCGCCCCAGTGCCGAAGGCATGTGCCACCACACCAGGCCCAATGAACTTTTGTTTCAGGGCTCAAACCCATGCACCGCCCAGTAACTATCCTGTTTAGTTGTGTCTTTGCCAAGTAAAGTGATGACCTTGCTTGCAGCTTTTCATTTAGTCTTGCCGCATGGGTATGTCAGACTAACTTGGGATCTCTTCATTCCCGGCTTTTGCCTTGTATCATACCTCCTCAACCATAAGCTGCCTTTCCCTCCTCCCAGCCTTTGTAAGTTGCTGAGATAATTCAATATTTGATTTACTTTGTACCACAGTGTGGTCAATAGACTTACCCTTTCCATGCAGAGGTCAGGGCCTGAGCTGTCTCACAAGCCCCACACTTTTTCTAAACTTCACAAACATTCCAGCCCTTGAATGTGGCTGTAAATGAGCATGCTTTCATACAGCTATATAACATACCCTACTTGAACAGAAGATTCCAGAGTAGAGGGCTGTATTGCTTCTGATTTGGCCATTGTTTTCTGTAGAATTTGAAGTTGTTCTGTAACATTTAGTAGCAGCATTTGCCACCGACTCCAGCAACCACCCTACTATCCCCTCTACACCTATATACTTTCTGTGAGGTTCTATTTATTAAATAGGTGGGTGGTTCGTGAGATTCGAAAAGATATCTTGAGACATGAGCATTGCCACTTTTTTCCTTTGGTGTGTGCACACACACATAATACTATCAAGCACATACAAAGATCATGGCAACTTGCCTGGAGTGTGTGCTCCCTTTCTACCATGTGTATTCTGGGAATTCAGGTTGTCAGAATTGGCAGCAAGTACCCATACCTGCTGAGCTCACCAGCCTGCCCTCCTTTTTTTTCTAAAAAGGTTGAGGTTCAGTTGAATTGGTTACTGATTTACTGATTTATAAAGATATTAAAATGGTTCTTTGAAGACAAAGTCCAGGGATGGAATCAGCTGTCTTGATGAATTGTGGAAACAGTTTAGGCTCCAGGGAAAGACATTTTCTTGCTGTTTCTGTACCATGTGGTACAGGGTGTTTCAGCCTTGCTAGGCTGAAGAGTGTTAAAGTCAGGGTACTCTCACGAATTTTCTCTTTGGTAAAGAAGTGTTGTCCTTCAGAGCAACTGCCATGGAGTTCTTTTGTTATTGCCATTTTCTAACAGCGTTGCTCCACATGAGATTTCAAGGACTCAAAATCCCAAGTGGGAGCTGTTAACAACTTCAGTTTTTTACTTGAGGGAGAAGAAGGTATCTGAACATCTCTGTGGCTGTTTGGGACAGACTTACAGAGCTCTCCATTGCCATGGATCTCTTTCTTGGATTTAGCAGCTTTTTCACAAAGAGTACCTGGAACTGATAATTCAGTCATATTTCTGACAAAATTCTAGTCTATTTGTCTCCTTAGAGGATCTTTCGCTTTAAAAGTAACATTCTGCTTCCATGGCAATGGCAAAGACAAACCCTGTTGGTGGTAGTGGTCTTAACATCAGTCAGGGGCAGAACAGATGGCAGTCCTTTGCTCATCCTAGCTTGGTACCTGGCTTGGTGGCCAAAGCTGTTTTATGCCTAGGACTCATTAAAAACCAAAGCAAGTCAAATCCAGGCAGTGCAGTGCGGGAGGAAAAAGATAAGAGACCTGTGGACCGCCATGCCACTCACAGACCTGCTCTCCAGCACATGACACAAGTGGGCCATAGACACAGCTTGCCACCACACCGTGCAGTGTGGGTGGAGGATGTCATCCAGGGGCCACCAGCCACATGGCCAGCCTACAGTGGGAGCCACCCTAGTGTTCAAGTATGTGGTGGACAGATGGGAGAGAAGAAGTGGAGCAGCTTGAGCATTGTGAAGAGAGCTGGAATTAGAGACTGAGGGTGGCCTGTTATGAAGGACCAGTCCTGCCACCTGGGGCCATGGTGAGGTCCCAGCCCTAGTTGCCGCTGAGGGCTCTGTCTGGGTTCGTGGTTATGCCGCAGCAGGGGTCGGTGTCTATAACCATGTTCGTATTACTACTAGCGTACATGGAGATGACCTGGTTGTGGCTGGCAGGGGACCGTGTGCATGTCCAGGGCCGTGCAGAACTGCCCCACCTCTTATTGGCTGCAGTGCCTTGAGAAGTAAGCCCTACCTCTCACTAGTGGCAGCACTTTGGAGAGTGGGCCCTCCACCTCATGCAGGCAGCACAGTGGAGCTGGCCCTGGTGGCAGAGGTGTGGGTAAGCCAGTCTCAAGGGTGTGAGAGTGGTAGAGCTGATGACTCTGGCAGTTAGAAAAGCTGCCCACAGGATTGTAAGCACAGGAGAACTAGCCTTGCCCTTTACCAGCTGCAGTATTCAGAAGAATGGCCCCTGCATCTCTCCTGGACAGCACAGCAGAGCTGACCCTGGTGAGTGAGCTGGCCCCTTCACTCCTTGGCCATGAGGTGGTATGGGTACCTCCTCCCCTCACTACCTGGCACAGTTGGGAGAGCTGGTCTGGGGTCATGAGTGGGTGAGTGGGCCCTGCACCTTGCCTGGGCAACACAGTGGAGCTGGCTCTGATAGTGAAGGCACAGGGGAGCCAGCCCCTAGCAGGCTTGTACTTGAGAAAGTAGATCTCATATCTTGACTGGGCAGCACAGTGGAGCTGGCTCTGGAGGCATGGGTGTGGGTGAGCCAGCCCAGAGGGCATGAGAGCAGGAGAGCTGACCCTGCCTCCTGCCCATGGCAGCAGTAGGTGGCCTAGCCGGAGCAGTGCTGGAGAACTCATTCTGGTGGTGTGGATAAAAGAGAGCCAGCGGACCAGCTCAGCTACCACCCGGGCCCAGATCTAGGGCTCTGAATTGGCCCACCCCAAAATCTATATTAATCTGTGAACATATAAATCAGTCCTGCTGATCCAAAGCTGCAGGATCTCCATGACACAGGGCAACACCAGGATAATGAGGAAAAGTTCCACTGAGGATCTAATATTGATGGTGTCACAGAAGCCAGAGACCTTGAACCAGACCAGTGACTCTACAGTGAACATTTGCAAGTAAAGATGTGTGCACAGACGGATATACTGTGGGACACACTGCGACACGCTACAGCTTCCACGATGAGATGTTTTCTTTTTTTTCTTTTGGTTTTTTTTGTTTTGTTTTGTTTTGTTTTGTTTTGTTTTTTTAAAGATAATTAAGCCTTTATTTCCATGATTTTCAAAGTAAGCTGGCTGAATTGATTGCCTTTGGAGGTTATTAGTCAAAAGAGACCAAATCCCATATCCTCATCTGATTTCTCTGATTCTTCCTTGGCTTCAGCCTTGGCTGGGCAGCAGTGGCAGCAGGAGCAGCAGTGGTGGCTGCAGCCACAGGGACAGCAGCCACAAAAGCAGATGGATCAGCCAGGAAGGCCTTGACCTCAGCAAGTGGGAAGACCTCATTCCAGGCCCACAAAGCCAGGACCCACTTGTATCCATTCATAGAGTGGCACTGAGGCAACGGTTGGGTAACCAATTTGCAGACAAACACTGGCAACACCTGGACACCCTCTAGGAAGTGAGTGTGCAGTCTGCTCTGTGATGTCAAGGACTTCTGGGTTATAGATGCTGCCGTTGTCAAACACCTGCCGAAGGAGAAGGGGGAGAGGTTCAGCATGTTCAGCAGCGTGGACTCACTTGGCTCCCACTTTGTCTCTAGTTGCACATTGCTCAGAATATCAATGGTGCCTCTGGAGATTTTACTGGTGATGCTCAGAGCCTGGAAGAACGAGGTCTTCTCAGGTCCCAGACCAATGTTCTGAACTGCACAGTGATCTCATACGGGTGATGGCATCAGCTTGAGCAACAGCTGGCACCTCATCGGCCAGCAGCATGTCCCTAATCTCAGTGAGGTCCTCCTAGGTGAACACAAAGCCCACATTCCCCCAATGTGAGGCAGCAGTTTCTCCAGAGCTGGGTGGTTCTCCAGGTGTCCCCTGATGGCCTTTTGTATCATGGTGTTCTTGCCTTCCCTTGTAGGGACATGTGTCCCTGCTGCATCTGCTTGGAGCTCACATTGTCTGCTCCCACAGTGGAGCATTTTGGGTAATCACCCAAAAGTTGGATGATCTTAAGGAAGTAGTTGGACTTCCAGGTCGCCCTGTCCTCCCTGGTCATCACGGCAGTGCCTCAGGGATTGCCACGCAGGGTTTAAAGACGATGTCACTCTACTGAGGATGCCTGGCGAGAGTGAGATGTTTTCTATGCTTTGTTTTTTGTTTGTGTTTTTTATTTTGTAGGGGAGGGTGCAAGAATGAAGGGTAGATATGAGATAATGGGGAAATGAGTGGGACTGTAGTATATGATGTGAATGAAACTCACAAAGAATAAACAGTTGAAAAAGCAAAATTCTGAATTTTAATGAAGTCATTAAAAGCTTACTTTATATGTTGCATAAGGCATGTTCATCTTTTTATACTTTTTTCTTTGTGTATATGTATATACTTATATACGTGTACTTATAAGTATTAAAGTTTATCTTCTTACCCTTTAATTAATGAAGTATATTTTTTAAAGTAGAATTTATAGTATTTTATTCAGATTGTGCTGTTCTTGTCTTTCAGTATGAAAATCCATGGACAATCCCAAATTTGTTGTCAATGACAAGAATTGGCTTGGCCCCGGTGTTGGGCTATCTGATTCTTGAAGAAGATTTTAATGTTGCACTAGGTGTTTTTGCTCTAGCTGGCCTAACAGATTTGGTAAGTTATGAATATATTTGCTTCTGCTCCCTTTTAAGACCCACTCTGTCTGTAACTCCCGTGTAGCACAGCCGTAGCTTTTTCTGAAGGATGTCCTCAGAATGTCCTCAGGATG